CCCTTTGAAAGTGTTCCTAAGGCAGCATTTGGCACAGTGATTAAGACTCTGGTTGGGATGATCATATCTCAATTTGCAGTGCTTGCCTCCAAGTCCTGGCTGTGATTCTGATCCAAATACACGTAATGTGTACCCTATGAGGCAGCCAGAGGCGGCTCAAACAATGTGGGTCCCGTCACCCACATAGCAGATCCAAACTGAGTTCCTCCTATTTCGAAGCTTCAGCCTATCTCAACCCTATCCTAGCTGTGGCAGACATTTAAGTAAATTAGAAGAAGATCAATATCTCCCACTACATCTCTCTATAAAATAAATATGTATTTACACTCGCCAGAGAGGGACAACAGCTGGGATTGGACCGGGCCAAAGCAAGGAGCTTACAACACCATTCAGATCTCCTTTATGAATATCAGGGACTCAGACTTCTAGACCATCTTCTGTTGCTTCCTCAGCTAAATTAGCTCACACTGGTACTCTGATATGCAATGCTGGTGTCACAGTAAGGACTCCACAACACATTAAGCCATACTACTGTCTCTTTAATGTCTTATAAATTATAGATAAAACTTTAATAAATTATTTGGGGGCTGATGCAGTGCCATGAGTTAAGCCATTTCTTACAATGCCAGCATCCCATTTCATAGGCCAGTTTGAAATCCCAGCTGATCTATTTCCAATTCAGCTCCTTGCTAATGTGCCTGGGAAAGCAGCAGAAGATTCCTGAAGTGCTTGGGCCTCTACCACTTAATGTGGGAGACTCCAGTAGAAGCCAGAAGTCAATCCTGACTTCAGCCTGTCCCAGTCCAGGCTGTTGCTGCCATGTGGGGAGTGAATCACAGTGGATGAAAGATTTCTCTCTTTCTCTCTCTCTGTCACTTTGCCTTTCAAATAAACAAAATAAATCATAAACAAAGCTTAATAGGAATAAATGAATAAATATTAATTTGTATATATGTTTGAAAGTTCTCCGGAGCCTGAGAGGTAGATCCCATGGCAGCACAGCTGTTGGGCTCAGAAAATGATACCCCAAGATGTGCTTGACATGTTGACTATACAGAACAAAAGCTATAGACTCAGGTCTTTGGGATCCCCATTCAACTCTCTCTCTCTCTCCTGAATCACAGGAAGAGGCTTTCTGTGAAGTTTTCTTGCCTGATTGAGTTCCTTCACAAGTAAGTTCATCCCTTTCCCTGCCATTTCATTCAACACAAGATATGAATTCACAAGAGAAACAAATCAAAATTCTAACACCTCATTCAGACACTTTGGTCCAAGAACCACCTTCACCCTGAGGGCTGTGACCTGAGACTTGGCTGCACATTAAGATAGCAAAAATAGCCTTTGTTCACTGTGCTTCCTTCACTATCTCGTGGCCTGTAGCGCCCCCTATTGTCCCCAGACCTCCATTCCTCCATGTCATCATCTCCTCCCAAAAACTCTAGTCCCCGGTTATCTCCATAACTCAAGATGCCGTTTAAGCATAAACAATCTGACCAGCCTTTTGGGTTTCATTGATTACGTGGTCCTGTGTATTTGCTTGTAAATAAATTTGATGTCTCTGCTCTTGTTAGTTTATCTATTGGACATCTGCTCCAGCAGATTCAGTTATGAAACTTTCAGAGAGCAGAGGAAACTTCCTCTCTCCCCACTACCATGAAGGAGAGAGTGGTCTCTGCCTCAGTCCTTGGAGATGTTTTCACACAGTGATAGAGACCCCACTGGTGGGAAAAATGAAAGTTGGCTTCTTTGTGGGAAAATGAGTTTGATCCCCACAGAAGAGGATCAAAATGGACTCTGTGCTCATCATACCTTCCTGTCAAGCACTGTTGACCTCAGGAGCCATGTACTCAACAGCTCTGACCACATGATGCATTCCTTCTGGAAATGCAAGAAGACCCCTATGCACAAACATTGCCCTCGCTGATGCCTGCAGTCCCACCTAGATTCTGGAATTGTTTCTTAGCTTTAGACCTGTCCGTATTCCTGGTATATCTTTGGTATAACCTATGACTTACCCTGGAAGGGAAATGCTTGAAATCATCAACAACTCAATGCCTTAATCAGATCATTAGCCTTGTGGCAAGGGAAGAACATGGTGGAGGGTGGCGAGAACAAGCAGCTGGAAGAAGGCAGGCACAGGTCAAAGGGCAGAGAGAAGCCGTGGGGCTAAAGCTTCTTATTGGTGCTACAGGATTTGTAAGGAGCAGGACTTCTGAGTGGACCCTGCTGGAATGGAGTTACTGGGGTTGCTGGCCTTTATAGGAAGACTGGACAATGTATGCTAGAGCCTCCTTACTCGTGGAAAAGTGTGGCTACCACAGCCCAGAAAAGTATTGCTACTGCAGATATTTGCAGCTGAATTCCAGCCTAGTGATAAAAATTGAATGAATAAGGATAACAAAGAACACTCAACAACCTCAGATACTTTTAAGGTATGTGAAGCTAGAAGACCCCAAGATTCAAGAAAGAAACACCAAATACACTACTAGTTGTTAGATGATATGACAAAGCTAAGTCTCATTTTCATCTTACATAATTAGCTCAGTTCCCTGGGACTATGATCAGGCCAATGTTTGTTTTAATAGAAGCTAACAGTTAAAAGAAAAATTCTCAATGGTAAGCATGATGAATTACAGAATCACATTAATGTCAAAGATGGCAAGAATATGCCGTTCATGGTAGTTTTAGCTAACTGTTTAGCACAGAATCTCAAATCATGCTCTGAGGAGCTGTTTGCATTTGCAGAGCTATGGGTACTGTAAGCGGGATTCCAACATTTTAGAAGAACAAGCCTGAAACAAAGGGGAAGAGAATAAGGCAACAGGAAGGGAAAAGAGAGGCACTAAAGAGTTCATCTAATCTGGTGTAGATCTCCACTAAGGATCTAGGATTACACAAGCCTTGACAAAATTCAGAAAGCCTTTGGTGGGGGAAATGTGAAGACCTGCTAGAATCCAGTCTTACATACCAAATAAACAAGGTGATCACTTAGCCTGGAAAATACCCTTGATGGCCTGCAAGTTTATCAGCTGAAGGGAAATTGATCAGAAAACACGAATATTTTATGTGAGAAAGAGAGAGAAGAGGCACCATCTGCTACAAACATGAAGAGATTTTTGTAGTTAAGCAGTAACCTGGCCCAGCTAAGTGACACATGCCCAGCCTGAGTCACAACAGAGAGCATGGTCACTGACCTGGGTTCAAGCCCCTGCCTCCAATCCCAGTACTAGCAGAGGGGTCCTGGGGTTCCCATTCTCATACCTAGAAAATCTCACACTTGCATGCTCTTGTGCTCAACACATATATGACCAATAACCACTTAATATTCCTTCCCCCTTGAGTCCCACATCAGTTTTTACCTCCAAGCTGTGCACCATCTCGTTTAGGGAGAGATAGCAAGGACACTTTCTCTCAGCCCTCGTGGTGGTTTAGTGCCCATGTCCTCCCTGCAGATGAATAGTCTACAACATCCTGGAAGTTTCCTGCAGCCTGGTGTTTGGCTTGTATTTCTTTGGCAAGTGTACCTCTAAAACCACCTCTGTCTACATGGTGTACATGTACCAGACAATTGTTATGCCCTCACTATACGCCCACCTAGCCTTCTAACAGCCCAGTAGCTCCACCAGTAACCATGGCATAGGAAGTAGGTATCCAAAGAACAAGCTGGAGGCTTATTCTTAAGTCTCCTTTTCCTCACCTTGACTGCTAGGCTATTTCTGGGAGTGAATAGGGAAAGTTGTGCTGGGTATAGATGGAAGAATCTTTCCAGTTTCTATCATGTGATCATTATCTATTCTAATCCTGTTTCTACCTTCATTGTCACTCCCATCCCCAGCCCATTCTGACATCCTTTACCTGTTCCTGAACACTGCAAAGATCAATTCATGCAGGTTGTGAAGAAACAAAGGAGCAAAATCCAACTATCAGAGAATGGTGGCCAATTAAACTCCCTGTACCCAGCAGCAGAATTAAATCCAGAAGGGTTCCTATAGCTGTCACAATCCTGTCAAATGATCAAGAAGAGAGCTATATTCTAGAAAAGCTTTGTGAGCTGAAACGTGTGGCAAGTAGCTGCTCATTACAAAGTCTTAAGGATAATGTGAAAACAAAACAACCAGAATGTTTTCTTGTCCTCTACTTGTGCCTCTTGCTGAATATATGTCTTAAGTTGTCACAGTTACCCTCATAGAATGCCCATTGGTAATCCATCCTCCTCCTACACAACCCTGGACACAGCAGTTTCTGGCAGTTACCTCTGCATTGGGTCTCTCCATTCTACATTTCAACCCTTCCTGCTGCATGGCCATGGTCTTCCCAAGGGGCCTGGAGTGACTCTGAAGAAAGCAAGGCCTTGCCCTTTGTGACATAGCAGCCGGAGGAACAATCACACCAAGAGAACTCTGCCAAGGAAACAGGAACTTGTAGGGGGAGATCTCAGAATCTCAAGTCTGTCAGATATTCACCAATTCACTGGGCCCAGGAAAAACTCACTCATCCCTAATTACGCTGTCTCTGTGGCACACAGCAGGGCTTGATCCTCTTGACATCTCCAAATGACAGTATGGCATCTAGTTGATTCACTAGATTTTCTTCTCATGCATTCATTCTTAATCATGATTCTATGCTCCAGTTCCGTTAGTTCCCACCAGAAATCCAGATTGCTTGTATAACAGCAAGCATGAAAAAAGGCCTCCTTTTAAGATGGTAGATTTATTTATTTTTTAAGTCTACAAAAAAACTTGAAATGCTTGAGTTTCCAGGTCATCTGGCAGTCTGCCAGTTATCATTTAGACTCCAAATATAAGGGGAGCCCAAGGCTTCCAGAGACCCCAGACACACCATGGAGGTGATGGGGCATGGGGTAAGGAGGAGGCAGTCAACCAGCACCCAACTGGAATCAAAGGCTCTGACTCTTCCGCTCACATATTGCTGGAGTTTTGGAAGAAGAGGGTTATTCTGGCTTAGGTAGATAGATTGCATGCTTCTGTAATTAATCCTACCTGAGGCAAAACCACATTGATTGGAATTTCTAGACTTTCGGGTCTGGTATCTCGTTTTCTTGTAAAATTTGACCTTGAGTGCTGTGGAAAAAAAGAAAAGAAGATTTGTGCTTCCCAACCCATCCTCTGGGCCTCAGTTCCTCATCTGACAAGCATGATTTTCTACTCACTTATCCCCTCCTTATCAATCAGGCACATCTTGAAAATTTGAGTGTGAAAGCATCTATATATGATCTCTGATGTTTTATTAAACAGCAATTAAGTCAGGTATCATAGTTGTAATGATCTAACTTGAACGTTCTGTGGGTTTTAAATGTTTCAAAAGTCTTTTAAGTACAGATTCTAAGCAAAGATTTCTACAGCCTTAACTACTGTTTCCATCATAAATTAAAAAATCATACCAAAGTAAGATGCCAGGTATAGGTCCGATGCGGGAGTTGGTCACCAAAACACTCAGAACATTCTGGAGGTGACATCACAAAACCATGTGGTGTTTCTCAAGGCACATGGCTTCTCTCTGAACCTCACAGGTGGGAATGAAGCTTCTGACAGGTAGGAAGAGTTTCACACCAGCTATGACCACTTGGCCAGTCCGAGTCAGTATGACACATAGTACTTCAAACAGCAGCCCCTTGTTTGGTCATCCCTGATGTCAGATGAAGCAGAGACCCCTGCTGCCTCTTCAGAGGGGTAAATGTCTACTTGTAGTTGTATCACTTAAGATACAAATCCTCGCCTTGCATGTGCCGGGATCCCATATGGGCACTGGTTCTAATCCCAGTGGTCTTGTTTCCCATCCAGCTCCCTGCTTGTGGCCTGGGAAAGCTGTCAAGGATGGCCCAAAGCCTTGGGACCCTGCACAAGTATGGGACACCCAGAGGAGGCTCCAGGCTCCTAGCTTCGGATTGGCACAGCTCCAGCCACTGCAGCTGCTTGGGGAGTGAATCATTGGACAGAAGATCTTCCTCCCTGTCTCTCCTTTCTGTATATCTGACTTTGCAATAAAAATAAAAAGAAATCTTTTAAAAAAAAAAACTCCTAGGGCTTCTTTAGCAACAAGCCACACACTGGATGGATTGAAACATCACAAATGTGTTGTTTTGCCCTTTTCATGGGGAAAGGCAGATGCAGAAATCCAAATCAGCCACGCTCCTGCTGATGCCTGTCCAGGAGAATCCTTTCTTGCCCCTATGTGGCTCAGGGGGTTGTCAGCAATACAGAGTAGCCCCTCACTGGCACTGCGGCACTTTGAGCTTCCCCTTTGTCATCACCCTGTGTTGTTTTGCTGCCAACCTCTCTCCTCTTCTTCCTCTAAGGACACCAGTTCTACTGGATTCAAGGTCCATGATACCCCAGACTGACTACCTCCCTGATGATCCTATTGCCACACCAGTTAAGGTTCAGAGAGGGAGATTTTGCCATATCTTTGTGGGGGAAAACAATTCAGCTGGTATCTGAAGCCATCATTAGCTGGACATTTAGCAAGCACAGGCCCCATCGTGCTTTATGGATGCTGATTCCTCAAAATAAGAGCCACTGCCAGGTATGCAGGTATTCTCTCTCTAGGTGTAGGTATACTTTACCTTAGGGTGGGAGTCCCTAAACCCATCATCCTCTTCTCAGCCTGTCTCCAGCAGCTTCAGTCCTTCCGCAGGAGAGACCTGTAGTGCTGAGGCAGCCAGGAGCACATGCCTCCCCATCTGGAAGAAACCACATGCAGAAAGTAGCTTGCTGCCCTGGTGGGAGTATTTGTAACACTACTATACATATTTCTCATTTGTATTTGTATTAGTATTTTTGTTATGTTATTTTGCTGGTTCTTAATGCCCTGCCTTCTCCACACTTTGTCCAGCTTTGTCTAGTTCTCCCTTGGGTGGTAAAAACCTGATTGTGGCTCTATCCTAAATGCCATCATTGGGGAAAAACATACACCATTGAGTCCCTCCATGTATGAACCAGCCATGAGATCAGGGGACAATTCAGTACACTCATTGCTAGGAAGGAAGTCTTATCATGGATGACCTCCAAATCCTCAAGGTACAGATCCAATGCAAATCATCCCTTTACCCAGGGTGCCACCTGCCAACATGCAGCAAGCCCTTCTCTTTGTGTTCTCCCTGTTTCTGCCTCTTCACAATAGACATTTGCTTTTTTCCTCCCAGAGTCGTGGCTCCAGGTAAGAGGGCAGCCAAGACCCTCTGCACCTCACAATGAAGCATGCTTAGTGACAACCTATGTGCAACTGGAAGTGAGGGTGACCCAAAATCAAAGTGACTGACTGTGCCTGTCCCCTTAAAATGCATATAGTGAAGCCTTTAGGCTTAACGTGACTTTTTTTTGGAGACAGTGTCTTAGGGAAATGTTTAGGTTTAGATGAGAACAGGAAGTTCCTCTGTGTCTCTTCCTCTTTCTTTTCTATCTGAAGACACAATGAGAAGGTAGCCATCTGCAACCTAGGAGTTCACTGTACAAATTTTAGGGGGACATGCACAGTCAGTCCATGCCACTGTGTGACTTGGCAATTACCCCACCTTTCAGAGTGTAGTAAATTCTCAACAAGCTTTATTTTGCCTACCTCAAGCAAAACTGTCCCTCTCATTTGGATTCATGTTGTAGGAATCCCTGGTCTGTGCATCATATGAGTTCCATCATCTAGTCTGCCCTTGCCAAGGCAACAGCAAGAGGGATTTGAAGTCTAGTATATCTACAGCAAGCCAACTTTTTAAAGTTGACCAGTCACAGGGCCTGGCATATTAGCCTAGTGGCTGAAGTCTTCTCCTTGTGCATGCTGGGATCTCTTGGGCACCAGTTCATGTCCCAACTGCTCCACATTCCTTCCAGCTCTCTGCTTGTGACCTGGAAACGTAGTAGAGGATGACCCAAAGCCTTAAGACCCTGCGGCCATGTGGCAAACCCAGAGGAGGCTCCTGGGTTTGAATCAGCTCAGTCCCAGCCATTTGGGGAGTGGGCCAGCGGATGGAGGATCTTTCTCTCTGTCTCTTTCCTTCTTTCTGACTTTCCAATTTAAAAAATATATAAATTTTTTTTAAAAGTTGAGTAGCCACAAATGTTGTTATTGATGTCCAAATGACCCTGACACACAATCAATGTTTGTTGATGCTGGATCAGAAAAGGTTTGACACTGCAGCTTATGTGAGAACATGTTCACTTCGTTCATAGATTTGCTTTATACTTTCAAAAGGAGAAGCAGTTTCGCATGGGCCGTCCTGATACCAGTGTCTGCAGTTTCCCATTAGCCACGTTGGGTTTCTTCCCCCTCTGGAGGACATGCACATCCATAACCCAGCATGGAGGTGCTTCTTTGAGATCATGCTTCACACGCCTGTCATTACTCAGATTAACATGACCATCCATCATCCACGTCCTGTGAGCACTCGCAATTGGTGGGCACGACATGAAGCACAGAGGTAGATATGCCTCGTGGGTTTCTAATCTGAGCAGACAGGGAGAAAAGAGAGACAAAGGGAAGGGCATGCTACATTCTTCTTCAGGCTTCCCCAGCCAGCCACTTCCTGGCAATAAATCACAGGAGGTAACAGAGCAAGCAGGAGGCCTATCGGACAGCATTCCCTGACCTTCCTTCCCCCAGAGTCACAAAAGCTGCAGCTCTTAGTTCAGGAGTCAGGGCTGGGCCTGGGGGTGAATTCTGACCTTTCTCATTTTCTTATCTGCAGAGAAGAGATGGCATGTGGTAAATGATCATGACACCTATCATGTCCAAATTGCACAATGTGACTGGATACATTGGTTATTTTTACTGCCTAGAGCAGAGAAGTAACTCTATTGGTAGAAGAATGGCCTCCGTGTAGCAAGGCCTTAAGTCAACCTTCTCTTTGAATAGGAACCTGAGATCACTTGCCTTCCTCCCATTGAAGCAGGGAACGGCTATCAGAAATAACCAAAAGGTGAGGCTAACGAGTTGCTGGAAAAGTCTGAAAGTGGAAGTTAGCAGAAAAATAGAGTGGCAGCTGGTTGTGGCAAATGCTTGTTCTGAGATAGAAAAGGCGTTTATAGGAATGTTGCAGGAACCAGTGGATGTGGAAAGTGACAGGATGTAAAGTACTTTCCTCCCAAATCCAGAGATAATCTGAAAAGTAAAGAAGGCAAGGTAGGTAAAGACAGAAAAGAGACCCCATGGAGCTGGCATGGAGGGCTACAGGCTAATCCTCCACCTGCAGCACTGGGATCCTCTATGTCCCAACTGCTCCACCTCTAATCCAGCTCTCTGCCTATGCCCTGGAAAAGCAGCAGAGGACGGCTCAAGTCCTTGGGCCCCTGCACCCACATGGGAGATCCAGAAGAAGCTCCCAACTTACGGTGGTTTACAGAATGAACCAGTAAATAAATAGAATATTTCTCTCCTCTCTGTAATGCTGCCTTTCCAATAAAAAATTTATTTTTAAAAAAGAGAGAGCAACCAATGGACCACATGCAGAGCTCTTGCCATTTAGTAACATCCACATCCAAACACGTCTAGATCTGCAAACAAACCATGCACAACTTTTCACCTGAATCCAGGAGCTACCAGAAATAGAAACCCCAACTCCAACACTCATTTTTTTGGTAATCTTAATTTGTTCACCAGTTTCAAGTGTGAAATTCTATCAAAAGACATCCAATGGAAAAGGCATTCTTTAGTAAATCTTCCTCTCTTTCAAAGAAAGTCGAAAGAGACAACTAGGAAGCTTTCGTCCCTCGTCCCCCATGCGAAATGTCCTTGTCATGAAAGGAAGAGTGGAAGCCTTGGTGTGGATATGACACTTGGGAGCGAAGAGGCAGGCCATCTCCACTTTACTTCTGACCAAAGGAGCAAAAGAAAAACTTTTGTTTATTATTCTATTGTGATTTATGTACATTCCTGTACATTTCAATTTAGCCAAAATTAAAAATCATCAAATTAGTTCACTGTGCAATCCCTTAAATGAATTGTCCATTAGTGCTCGTTAATGGTAATGGAATGTTTGCTTAACAGCATGTGATGTATGAGCAGTGCCAAGGAAATTCATTAAAACATTGCTTCAAAGAGCGCTGTCTTTGAGAACTACTGAGATTCCTGGAGCTTGTGACGGCACCTGACACACTGTAGGCACTTAGAAATCATTGACTTTGTTATCATCATATCTCTCTTCCCAAATTCTTCTCTCCAGTGGCATTGCAATCCTTTTGAGAGCAAGCAATGGAACGTGATTTCCTTTCATTTTCTCGGTTTCTTCAATGAGTCATGATACAGGCAGAGCTTGGAAAATGGGTCTTATCCCAGACCTACAAGAACCTGAGAAAGGAGGAACTCCTAAAGGTGACACTATCCAAAGAAATGTTCACCTCCATATCTGGACGCCACAGCAGGTAAAACTAACAGGACCCAGACCTTAAGTATCAATGTTGGAACTCTGTTTCTGCCCCTAAGCTAACTGGATGATCCCTGTCACTTACCTGGCTAAGCCTTGATTTCTTC